TGTCTATCGTTTGACATTCTTGCTGAATAAAAATTTGCGATAAAAGCAAAAACTGGATGCTAGAAATATAAGTTAAAATAATGCTGAGGAAACTTCATTGGACATGGAGTTTGGAGTCCTAGATGACTCCACTTTCTGAATGTTAACTCTATTTTTCTCTTCACAGATGCTATCAAACCTGCTGCGTTACTTCAACGCTTTCTGCTTTTTATTTAATATTTTAATTTGTTTGTTTCTTGTAAGTCATTTAAAATATATTTTAAATTGTCAGAACTAAGTTGGTTTTTAACTTGGTGCTGAGTGAAGCAGTTTAATGGAGTTATTTCACATTAGTTAAAAGCCAAAGCTGCAAGTCTGGACATAATGTGGTTTAATCTGTTTTAATGTGATAATCTGGTACTTTGATCTCCACCTTTGAGATATGATGCTCATGTCTGAAATGAGGTATCATTACTTTGTTTTCGTAATGAATTCTTAGGGATGAATTCTGATATTTGTCCAAGCTGCGTAACCTGAAAGGTGAGAACTCTGAGAAATGCCTGCAATCATGTAGCACTGGTTTGGTATTGTAGAAGATATGAGGATCACTCACTTCAGTTTTCTCTCTCTCTCTCGCACCTGCCCTCTGTCCCTCTCACTTGCACTCACCCTTCTCCCTGTATCCCTGTTTTCATCAGTTCTTTGCCATATCATCATCAACTGTTGAATGACAAATGACTATAATTATTGGATTTCTGATAGTGTATGGATCATGTAATAAAGGACAGATTTATAATCAGAAACTAAGCATTGGAACAAGTAACCGGGACACTGCCTTATGTCCTTATTCATTGCCACACCCATCCTCCTGATTTGATGGACAGCTTGTAATTGTTGTACAGTGATAGTGGAACAGCTGGCTGACTTGTCATTTTATATCCAAAGCTTTCTTACTGATGGGTGTCGGTTTCAGAGACTGGGATTAGGTTTGTTTTGTTCAGTTATCACTTTAGACAGGAGCATCACTGAGTGAATAGATTATATCAGTGATAACTTCTTGAATCTGTTCCACAGCTGCAGGTGGATAGGATGGTTGTGTTTCATCTCCCCAGTCTGATACTGTGGCAGGCAGATTTAAAGTGTTTGTTTCTTTCATGATGCTGTATTGGGATGGAACACTAGAATTGGACCATTTTTGATGCTTTGGGTTTAATAACAGATATGCTTTTAAGACAGCGAATTTAGTTTTTTCAGTTACTGTAAGCAAAATAAATTTAACCTGGAAAAGGAGCAATCATAAAATAAAATTACTTTTAGATTGGTGTAAATAACTAAGGTTGGCTGTACCGTCACACGTCAATTTATGGACAATTAGTGTATTTTATGATTATATAAAATTATTATACAGATTTTTAATCTTCATAATATGGAGGCTATCAGACAGATCATAGTAAAAGTACAGGATTTTGTTCAAAAGTTTGAAGGATCCATAATTTCAGCATTAAGCAAGTGGCACAGATCTCTGATAAATTTCTGACAGATTAACAAAAATGTTCGTTAAAATTTAGAAGGACTTCCCCAATGGCTTACCAAATGAGTGCACTGTCCAATCTGGATCCCAGTTGTAGAGACCAGGCGGATCTTCATTTGGATTCCTGACATTATTTATATTGGCCAAACTTTGTTGGAGGAGTGCTGAGACTCTCCATTCATATATCATTGCTCCGAGGTGAGGAGGGGGAACTCAGCTAAGGTTTCCTCTCATGCTCGTAATGCACTTTAGGCATCAGATAAGGATGGAATCATTGTTGCTTCATGGAATTGTAGTAGACTCTCAGCATTTTAGGTGCATTCCTGGAAGAATAACATTGGTTCTTCCAAACACAAATTAGAAAATAAGAAAACCAAAAGGAAGAACAACAACATTTTTCAAAATTGTAAACATTTTTAAACTAATAGAACTTGTTGAATTTCATTTTTGTCTTCTCCTATTGCCAGTAAAATTATGGATTGGGTTTCAGGATCTCTCACTTCTGTGTTCTTATGAATCTTACGGTTGTGGCTGGATTCTTTTTAAACAGTTAATGAGTTAATTGTGCAGTACATTCAGTGCTTAGAACATGTGTTATTTTACCTTTAGGCCTATTTTCATAGCGCTGAGGACTAGCAGCACGATAGATGTATTACAAAATAATGTATTAATGCATTTTCTTATTTTACTTTGACTACTTTTTTCCATCTATTCTGCACTAAATCATTCTGCTGTAGGCTTCCTTAAATCCCATTTTACATTTTGTAGTATCCTATCAAACAATCCTCATAAATGCAATAAGTCAAACCCTGCTAGTCGAACAAAAAATATTGCCTCTCCATTTAATGCCTGCCAATTTATTTGGCAAATTTCAGAGTTCTAATTATTGTGAGTCTGTAAAAAACTGTGACCTTTTGTGTGAGGGTGAGAGAAACTATTGAACACTGAATTTATGCCATGCAATTTTGTTACTTTACGGAGTATTCTTGCAAAATCAGCACAGTCTTGACAATTGTAATGCCAGCAGATACAGCTTCCAGTGAAATGACAAATGTTTGTATGCTGGCTTAGATTCACATCTCAACATTTGCATATCTAGTTGGTGAGATACTGTGCACCCCAATAAGGTATATTAGTTTGCCACTCTATATGTAAAGAATAGAGAGAAATTGGTGGTTGGAATAGCACCATAAAATGTTGTGATCATTTCTCTTCTGGCTCCCAATCCTCTATGTCAATCTTCCTCGTTTCATCGCTGTGGGACAATATTGAACAGAGTCTCAATGATTTGCACAGGGCTGAGAGCAATCAGACACGAGTGAATCAGTGTGCAAATGGCACTTAACTTAGTGTGGCAGTAATAAGCGTCCAGTTGTAAGTGAACAACAAATGGTGCAGAGCATAGTTAGATTAAGGAAATGTGAGTGGGCGGTGGGGTGGATGGATAAAGAATCATTGTGTACATGAAAGACAGAACTGTGACATGGTGCAAATCAATTAGGCAACCATTTTAGATGTTTATTGAGCAGAAATGATGTTTGTGTGGTTTGACTTGTGGACTTTTCTGTAAACTGCTGAGATGGAAATATATTTGTAATTGGGGGGGTGGATTTTCTTAAATATAATCTCTGAAATATATTCATATAAGCAGCATCTACAGTATTTTGCAATTATTAGTTTAAATAGGTATGTAAAGGTAGCTCAGTAGGTTTGTGTCTCAATTATGGATGTGTTCTAGAACATGCATATATATCAATGTTCACTATATTGTGGACCTTGATTGGGTTCTAGAGAGGTGTTGAAAGGTAATGTCAAGAAGCTAACGATGATCAATGTACCAGTTAATATAGGCCACTCTCATGCTCATCTTAGCAGCTGATGTGACCACAACTTGCAGTTTTATAGTGCCATTAACAGGACATTGTGGCTCATTGGAGTGATTATCAAAGCATGGTGGAGGAACTAAATTAAAGACCAGTGATGACAGTAAAACCGTAGCAGTAAAACCCTACACCTAGTGACAGACACCTGAACAGAGATAAATACATACATTAAAATGTAGAGCTGTTGGGATGCAGTAGTAGTATCCCAACCTTTGAGCCAGGAGTCCTGCATTCAAGTCCCACCTGCTCCAGAGGTGTATGACAATATCTCTGAATGGTTGATTCAAAAATAAGTTAAAATGTGGGAATGAGGTCCTCTTCTGGTGCAGTGGCAATGTCCCCACCTGTGGACTAGGAGACCTAAGTTAAAGTCCCAACTGCTCCTGAGATGTGTAACAATATCTTTGAACAGGTTGATTAGTTAAAAAAAGACGTAGGAATATGAATTAAATGAGAATGGGCTTTGTCTGATTTTCCAGCATCACCTAAGACTTGATTTTATTCTGTGTAGCCCAGTGATAATAATGGGTTCAGTCATTTTCAATCAGGGGCCCTTCCTATGCCACATCTCCAAGCAAAAATAGGAAATGTAGCACCCTCCCTTTTACCTCTTTGCCCTTCACCATCCAATTTTCAATTCAAATTACAGTACTTGCAGCTCACAGTGTGGTCCCTATACATTAGGGAGACCAAATGCAGGTTGAGTAACTGCCTTGTGCAGACATGACCCCAAGCTTCTAGTGCTTGTCATTTTAATTGTCTATGTTGCTCTCACGTTGAAATCTCAGCCTGCTGCACTATTCCATTTAATTACAACTTCGGCTTCAGGAACAGTATCTCATCTTTCAGATAGAGACTTTAAAGCATTCTTAACGCAACATTGACTTCAGCAATTTCAGATTGTGAACTTTGTTTCCCCCCCTCTCCCCCAACTAACCCTTTTGTTCCTTTTTTTGCATGTCTCACTTTTTCTCATTTTTGTTTTCAGATAACAGCCCACCTCTATGCACATCTTTTGTTTGTTTCTTTTCTTGCTCCACCGCAACTCCTTTTGTCTTCATAAGACTTAAGGCTTTTGTCATTTAGTCTCTCCTGTCTTCCAACCAATACAGACTTTCCTTTGCCCTTAATAAAAACCGAAAGAACTGCGGATGCTCTAAATCAGGCACAGAAACAGAAGTTGCTGGAAGCTCAACGCGTCTGGCAGCATCTGTGAAGAAAAAAATCAAAGTTAACGTTTCAGGTCCGGTGGCCTGTTCTGAGGAAGGGTCACTGGACCCGAAACGTTAACTCTGATTATTTTTTTCTTCACAGATGCTGCCAGACCTGCTGAGTCTCCTTTGCCCTTGTCCCTCTTGCCGTATCCCTTGCTCAAATCTATATGCATTTCTTTCTATTTCTGATGAAAGATTATTGACCTGAAGATCTGTCTCCACACATGCTATCTGACTTGCTGAGTATTTTTGTGTTTATATGAGTTTCTTACAGTCTCTGCAAAAGAGCAAAGCGTGAAGGATTTGTCCAGAGCTATGCACAATGCAACTTTGAGTTCCACTGAAAGTCAAAGTTTATGTCGGCAAATGATTATTTTTGCTATTTTCCATCAGGAACATCTATCCTGCAAGAAGTACATTACAGACGTTGTGACTGAGACCTGTGTGCACCCTGAGACATCAAAGGATGCAGAAGAGAAGCAGAAAGTCAGGAAGAAGGCCAAGAAACTTCGAGCGCGCATGAACTCCAGGTAATGTTAGTCATGCAATCAATTTGACTTCTTCATCCTTAAAAAGAAACTTTAGAGGCTAGTTTTCTTTGTACACCAAGTTATTTGTTTCATAGATTATCTTAAAAATACACTGATGAGCCTAATTTATAGCCACTTTCTGTGATTAGAAAAGAAAACTCAAAATCGATCTGGAGCCCTTGCTTTCACCTATTAAGAGCTTTTTTCATAATTGGCTGCTAGCACCTAGCCCAAACTATAGTTGCTTCCAGCAAGCATTTGTATGTTTAAGTATGTGTAAACCATGCCTATTTTTCTTCCCAGCTATTGATTTTTAAATGAAGTATCAAGGAAAATCAATAGTAATCAACAAATAGAAGGCAATATGCAGGAGTGTCAAATCCCAGGTCTAGGGTTTAATTAATTTTGTTGGCTGTCACAACATGGTGAAAAAGTTGGAAATGCTCTGAAATATAAAGTGAGTTGTCAAACCTGTAGTTTGTCATAGGGTTGGAAAGTGACATTTGTGGATCAGAGTTGTATGCAGTGTGTTGTTTTATTGTTAGCTGCCACCATCCCCCTTCTCTTATAGATATGGTGTAGTTATTTTTGGTTTGAGATATTACAGTTACAAATGGCTTTATATTCTGTTACCCATGGACTGACAAAAGCAGATCCTCAGTATGAAGTGGTAAATGAATTTGAGAGTGAATAGCATCACATGCACCACACTTAAATCCTGTCAATTTCTTTTTGTGTTGACTCGTTTGGAATTGTACATCACTGCCATTCTTCTGTGTTTAGGCATTGACAAATAAAACTTGGCTTACTGAGCTGCCTTGTTAGTAGGCACACTTAGCATATTGTGTTATATTCAGTATTCAGTGTCCTACTTGTTTTCCCAATCTGTTTTAGATTTGCTTTCTTGTCCCTATCAAGTGTTTCTCTGCATCATTCTGGCAGTGAAAATAAGCAGGCAGGTGATCTGCTCCCAGGCACAAATGCTGCCTTCTTCACCATTGATCCAAGATGGCAGGCGGTGAAGTGAATGGTCATAAGTTCTTCAATTTTTTTTCTCTCATTTTTCTCTTGTTTGAAGTTTATTTGATAGCACAGATGATCACAGAATAGTTTGTTTGGTCAATCATATTGGAATGAAATGGATTTAATTAATCTTTTTTGCAGTATTGTGCAAAGCCTTTTTTTAAACAAAGTAAGTTTTCAGCAGTAAAAGTCAGTATAACGTAACTATCAAGAACAGCATCAGAAAGATTCTACACAACAACACACTGCAGCAACACGGAACTACGCCAAGAGGAAGAGGAAGAAGAATACCTCTTCCAAGTGTTCAAGGATAATGGATATCCAAAGAACTGGGTCAGAAGATGCCTACAAGAACAGCATCAGAAAGATTCTACACGCCCCGACGCATTCATCACACTACCCTGCATCAGGAACACGTCGGAATTCACCATAAGACTCCTGCGACCACTGGGCATCAGAGTGGCACACAAGCCTACGTTAACCCTACGACAACTGCTCACCCGAACTAAAGACCCACTCCCCGCCATGGACAGGACTAATATCATCTACAAAATCCCCTGCAGAGACTGCGAGAAACACTACATTGGACAAACAGGAAGGAAACTAACAACAAGAGTACATGAACACCAACTGGCTACAAAAAGACACGACCGATACTCACTCATCTCGATCCTCATGGACAAGGAGAACCACAACTTCGACTGGGACAACACCAAAATCCTGGCTCAGGCTAGGCAGAGACAAGCACAAGAACTCCTGGAAGCATGGCACTCCACGAAGCATGCTATTAATAAACACGTTGAACTTGACCCCATATATATTCCACTAGGAAGGAAAACCGGAAGTGAGGCAATCCATCTCAACGGACCCCAGAGTTTAAAAACCAGGCAGGAAAACACTGACGCTTCATCGGAGGCTGCACTGAGGATGTTGCCAAGCATGGTAACGAAACGTCTGCAAAACAACAACCAGCTCAGCGAGCCAACCAACCTCAACAGTAACTATCAAAGGTAAACAGAGTAGAAAATCCAATGTAGGCATTAAATAAATGTAGTGTCCTGTGAAAACTGTTGTATAAATTGCAGTACTGGATCAGTCATGATCTTATTTTGTAATTGGAATTACTATAAAAAAAGTCCCAGGAGGGTTATGCTGGAGTAGAAAAGTTTCACTTTGCATATTGGACTTTGTGAAAGTTCATGTGCTTCAAAGTAAGTACTTGAGACTGTCTGTGAACAGAAACTTGGACTAATGTGTCAAAAGCCTCATGGAGCTAGTGTTAAATTGGCAGTCATCCACAGAAGCCAGACAATGGCTGATGTGGCAAAAATATCACATTGGTGCAGTAACAATTGATTTTCTGAGATGGGAATTCTATCACACCTTGTTGGAGTACACAAAAAAAAGAGCAGGAGTAGACCACATGGTCCTTCCAAGTGTGTTCTGCCATTCACTTAAAAAATGTCCAATATTTTCCTTCAACTGCACCTTTCTGCGTTATCCCAAATTCCCTTAAATCCCTTAGTTTTCAAAAATCTCTTGGTTTTATCTTGAATATACTCGATGACTGACCGTGCACTGGCCTCTGGAGTAGATAATTCAAAAGATTCACAACTGTAGACGGAATACTGGAAGTTACCATTGGGAACCCAAATTGGAAAGTGTTCAATTTTTCAGCATCTTATTGAGGAAGTTTACCAAAACAGAAAATTAAATGCAAGTACATTATTACTGTTGCCTCAGTTTGTTGAGCTGTTGCATCTGAATCAGAAGATTTTTCAAGTAGGACTTGAGCATCTATTCAAGACCTACAGTTCAGTGCAGGACTGAGCAGGTGCTGCCTTGTTTTGAATCAAACTCAGTTTACATCATCCTGACCAAGTCGACATTTTAAAAAAAAAAATCCAGTGGCATCAACCAAAAATGATTTTCTGCCCTATATTCCTACCTCAAAGTCAGGTTAACTAGTTATATGTTTATTTGCTTTTGTGTATATTTTTGTGTGCAAAATGCTGTAGCTTGTTTACATAACCAACAGTAACTGAATTTCTAAAGGACTTCATTGGACTAAAAGACTTTGGGAAAATCCAAGATGTGATAGACACTGTATAAGAAGTTACAGTTTGTTTTAAACTAAGTCTCAGTTTACTTTTTAACCTCTGAACAGGCGCTTTTGCCAGACAGAATCTTAAACAAAGTACCATCTTATTGCACAGCCAAGTAACACTAAATAGTTTCACACAAATCCAGCTTGCAGCTAAGAAATATTTGTGTTTTATAGCTTTTCGTTATTCCTTCATGTAGTTTGTTTCCCTACCAAGACAAATGTTTGAGGACTTTTAATTGTAAACCATTTTCCATTATTCACCATGGGCCATTCTCTCTAGAGTTCTTACTGTGTGGATTTTAAGGGATGTTCTGGCAATGTACCTGGAGAATTCATTCATTAACATGTGGTCTGCCCAAAGGCAGCTCCTTGGCTCAATGTCTGATAATGCTTCAGCCTGAGTCATGTTTTGTTGGCAGTTTTTTGTCAGTGGTAATTTGGCACTGCTTTTTATGCTGAGGCACTAAGTAAGAAGGCAAGATCTAAATCTACCTCAGCCAAAGCAGGGATTATGTTGGGATTAATCTAAATTGCGAACTAGCTAATCGCTCTTCTCTACTGTTTCTCCCTACACACATATCACCAGCGCATGCACCACCCACACCATATTTTAATCAGATTGATAATATTGCAACTGCTGAAAGATTACTGCCCAGAAAGAAAAATATGCAACCCAAAATGCATGTGGAATTCTGTATGGCAGAAACTCAACATTGAAACATTGCTTTTAAGCTGCTCAACCTGAAAAGCCCAGTACTCACCAGGAGGACAGTCGTTTTGTATGGCAGTTCATCAAAAATATTTTTCTTAAACTTGTCATATCAATGAGCTGTATAGTGATAGAGAAGTGTCTCAATATACACTGACCCATACATGCCAAAAAGTTGCAGGTTTGAATTCCATTCTATGCTATTAGTTGATTTCACCTTGAGGCCTCTGAGCTGTGGAGGGAAGAATCAGCTCCCTAATGAATGTCCAGTGAACCATTCTCAGCTGTAGATAAAACAGACAACTTTCCAGTGATGACAGTAAATTAGGAGCTGGAAGGAAGAAAGAAACTTTGTAAAATTACAATCGCCAATGAGGTGATACCAAATAACTGGAGCTGTGGGTTGACAAGTCTCTGGGTCCAGATGCACTTCACCCTAGGATCTTAAAAGTAGTGGCTTATGAGTTAGTAGATGCATTGGTGTTAATTTTCCAAAATTCCCTTGATTTAGGCAAAGTTTCATTAGACTAGAAAGCAGCAAAACAATCCCCTTTATTCAAGAAGGGAGGGAGGCAGGAAACAGGAAACTGAACACCAGTTAGCTTGATATCTCTCATTGGGGAAGTATTAAATCAATCATTAAAGAGGTTATACCTGCCCATTTAGAAAAACCAGGATATTAGGGAAGAGTCAACATTGTTTTGTGATAGGAAACTCATGTTTACCCAATTTATTAAAGTTGATTGAAGGAGGAGCATGTACTTTGGCTAAAGGGGAGCCAGTAGATTTCAGAAGGCATCTGATAAGGTGCCACATCGAAGTTAAGTGGGGAAAATAAAAAAAACATGCCGTAGAGGGTTACATAATAGCATAGATAGATGATTCACTGTTAGTCAGCTAGTATGTGTATAAATGGGTCTCTGTTTCATTGGCAGGAGATGACAAGTGGTGACGGGTCTGTGCTGATCCTGCTTTTTTGTTTAATAATTTATATCAATGACTTGGATGAGGGGAGTGAAGGCATTGTAGTTAAATACACAGACAACATGAAGATGGATACAAAAGTATGTTATGAAAAAAACAAGCAGTTTGCAAAAGCATATAGAAAGACTAATTGAGTGAGCAAAAATCTGACAAATGGAATACCATGTGGAAAAATGTCACTTTTGCAGGAAGAATGAAAAAGCAGAGTAGTAAACAGAGAATGACTGCAGAAATCCAAAGTGCAGGTGGATTTAGGAGTTCTACTGCTTGAGTCACAAAACTAGTGTGTGTGTACAGCATGTAAATAAGAAGGCTGATAGGATGCTATTTGTTATGAAAAAAATTAAACATAAAAGTAAAGACATGATGCTTTAATTATACAGGACATTGGTGAGTCTGTATTTTAAATACTGAAAGCATTTCTGGTCTCCTCCTGTAAGGAAGGATGTAAATGCATTACAGGTGGTTCAAGGAAGTTTATTTCATTGATACCTGGAATGAGTAGGTTGAACAGACTGGACATGTTTCCGTTGGAGTTTACAAGAATGAGGGATGATTTGATGGGGGCATATAAGATCCTGAATGACCTTGACAAGGTGGAAGTGCAAAGGATGTTTCTTCTTGTGGGTGAGTTGGACGAGGGGACAGTATTTTAAAATTAGAGGTTGCCCTTTTAGGATAGTAATGAAGAGAATATTTTTTCTGAGGATTGTGCCACTTTGGAACTCTCTGCCTCGGATGACAGTGGAAGCTGGGTGATTGACTTTCTTTTTAGGCAGAGTTAGATAGATTCTTGTTGGGCAAAGAATTGGAGGTTATCTGAAATGGTTAGGAATTTAGAATTCAAAACACAAACAGATCAGTCCTGCTCTTGTTGAATGGTGTGGCAGGCGTGAGGGGCTGAGTCGTCCACTTCTATTCCAATTTCATAAGTTTGTATGGATCGATAAGCTGACATGTTCATTTCAGTGACAGCACTGACCCATTCTGGAATACATCTGTGCACAATGTTAGATGAAATCATGATTGGGCTTGACTGTGATACCTACCACATTCAAATAGCCTGCTAGCTGTTAGTAAGCTTGCACATTAGGGTTGGATACTTGGATGAGAAATGAGTACCTTAACTATGCTTGGCAATGCCCATTTAAAATAATCAACACTCTTACAGATGAAATTTATAGATGTATTTTTTTTCTAAGAA